ATTACCATAGAGTCCCTGGTCCCAAGGTACCATTACCATGAGTCCCTGGCTTGGCGTGAAACCCAACCCTGGTCCCAATGTATCATTTTATGGAGTCCCTGGCTTGGCATGAAACTCAACCCTAGTCTCAAGGTACCATTACCATAGAGTACCTGACTTGGCATGCAACCCAACCCTGGTCCCAATGTATCATTACCGCGGAGTCCCTGGCTTGGCATGAAACCCAACCCTGGTCTCAGCCCAATGTTCCATTACCACGGAGTCCCTGGCCACAGCCTCTAAAGTATCCTCAGCCCCAATTTACCATTGCCATGGAGTCACAGATACTGGTGCTGTAAAAATGGCATACTATCATGATCCCCTAAGCACACTTGACCTTTCACTTTCAGGCTGAGCCAGGGCCGTTTCGAAAGCACACTGGTCTCTGCTAGCTGCAAGCCTTTTGTTTACTGAAGGTAATCTCAGCCTTGGAGTCGGTGAAGTTGGTCAGTGCAGCACTGCTGCTCTAATGACATACTCTCATAGGACCCCCCATATCTATGCTTTAAGGTTACTTTTAAATGGGGGGCGGAGAGGGGGGGCCGGGGGGCCCGGGGGAATTGCTTGGCCACATAACATCTGGCACATCGTAACTAACCAAATGTGCATCTGAAGCGATGGGTGAACAATTTGAAGGGACCTTCAGAAGTCTGTGCGAAGTTGCAAACCCTATTAAACCACCAGTACTTGGTCCATATGTCGGCTGCGGGACGTTGTCGTTAACGCCCCGCAAGTTTTGGAGGCCTGGGGTACCGGACCTGAAAGGCTGACGCCGCCAGCCAAAACAATTTTTTTTTTTTTGTTTCGTTGGCGGGTCGGCAAGAAACGGTGTGCCGGGCATATTCAGGCTCGGCATTGACAGCTGGGCCAAGTACTGGTGGTTTAACGCTGACGAAACCTAAACCGGGAAAAAAAAAAAAAAGAACGGGAAAATTGGTCCCAATGTTTACGATGTCGGACCTCTTCAGGAGAACAGATTTGTTCTTAGGTTGCTCTTGTCCTCTCAGTTCAACATGTTGCAACCCCCTCAATTTTGGTTTAGGGTTTGTGGGGCCCATGCTAAGGATGTCCTGGGCGGAAAACTGAAGCCGTTCTTCTCTATCCAACCCTTTTGAGCTGGGCCTTGGGGGGTGTTTCGAAGTTGGAAGACTGTGCAGGTCCACAGGATGTCCGCCAGGCATGGCCCATTGGAGGCTTCGGCTGGATGACCACCCCGCAGGTCCACACCTGCCCCGCTCAAAGTTGGACGGCGGACAAAACGGCAGAAGTGGTCCAAATCCACTTTTTTGGAAAAAACACCGCCAGATAGCTGGAAAAGTGGCTTTGCGGTGGGGTCCCCTTTTTCTGGGGGAAAAAAGCCCACGCTCTCCACCTCGGATTTCCAGGGAAGTGCGTTTTTTCAGCCTTTTCCCTGTGGGGTCCACCCCTTGGAACTTGAACGAAAAAGCCAAAGCAGTAGAACGGCGAACAGAAAAGTCTTCCGATGCAACAAAAAGCGAAAAATTACTCCTTGGTCTGGCTGTACAGCACACAAAATGAATAAACCATGGGCGTTTGTGGCTTTGTCCTATTATGCCGTTATGGTGCCGCCACCTGAACCCACCAAACTCCTTGCTCAGAACTTATCAATCATCTGATGTGCAAATGCCCTGAGGCTTCTCCCATAGTCTCTCTTTCTCTCTCTCTTCTCTC